GCTTCCTCTTCTATGCTCTGAAATAGCTTGAGTAGTACTGGTACAAGCTCTTCTGTAAATGTTTTGTAGAATTCTCCAGTGAAGCCATCTGGCCAGGGCTTTTTTTGGTTGGGAGTTTTTTTCACCTTTTCAATCTCTTCTCTTGTTATGGGTCTGTTCAGATTTTCAACAAGTGAATTCATTTTTAAGAAATCAGTATAGTCTACAAACAAAAACCTGAACTAACACAAATGGAAATTATAAACGCAAATCACTAATGAATACCGATACAAAAATTTCTAATTAAAATACATATTAGAAAATCCAATCCAGCAGTGTACTAAAGGAATAATAAGCTATCATTATGGCCAACTAAAAGGGAGCCCTGGTGGCACAATGGTTAAATCTTGGCTGTTAACCTAAAGGTCGGCAAGGCGATTTGAACCCATGGGCGGCTCTGTGGGAGAAAAGACCTGACAATCTGCTTGCCTAAAGATTACAGCCTAGAAAACCCTCTGGGATAGTTCTACTCTGTCATACAAGGTCACCATGAGTTAGAATTGACTCAACAGCACACAACACATATAAACATACACATATATAAAGATATCCCAATATATAATGGAATGGTTATATAACATCTTCCTCCCATTAAGAATGGACTGGCTGCCACTTCATATATGGTGAACACTGACAATCAGTTCATTTTTAATGGGAGGGGATGGTTTATATAGTAAATGGCACTGGCATAATTTGTGATTCAGCTCAAGAAGAAAACGATATTAGGTCCTCATCTCAAATATACAAAATACATCTATTAAAAAAAAATTTTAGCCATATTAAAGACCTAACTTTAGGAAAATAAAAATTTTAAACGTTAGAAAAAGATTGAAGATTGTGTACCTTGAGGAGGAGTGAGAAGGGGGTACTTCTTAAAGCAGAGACCAAAAGTAAGAAGACAAGCCTAAATGTTTGTCAGTATCTCCATGGATACAACTGGTATTAGCAGGGGGACTATGTGTCTGATAAATAATATACGACACAATAGCATTTTTAGTTTTATTAGTACTATCTTTTCAATAATATATTTAACTGGTTTTTCTTGCATCCTCCTCATAGCCCTGCACAGGTTGACCTACATGGTGTGATTGAATATCCTCAATAAATATCTCTTGAATGATACTGAAATTACCGGAATCTAACCATTTCGCTGCTCAAGTGGAGCCCCAAGTGTTTCTCCCTAAATTGCCAATGCTGAGGTAGGAGCCATTCTCTAAAGTTTGTAAGGATCATCTAACATGGAGAGAAGTGTGAATGGACTCCTCTTGGATATGCTGACAATCTCTAAGACAAGTGACGTCATCCTTCCAGTCAAAACTGTATAAGTGCCTGTCCTGTACAAGGCCCCAAATGCTCAAATGCACTGAGAAAACATTACATAATAGGGTATGTGATTATGTTTTAAAGACACTATTCAGAAGAAGCAACTGGGAGAGAATAATTTGTATTTTCTTTTAGGTCTCTGATGTTAATTGAAGTACACTCCTTTTAAGTATACTGCTTAAAAGATTATACTTCCCAAATAGTATTTCTGAAGATATTAAGAAAGTCAGTTTACTATCAAACTATTAAGAAAAGGCTGATCAGGAAATTCTAAGTATACATTATAAACTCCTTCCACTTATAATCTACACATAACGAAGATTTATTTTCAGATTTTTGTCATTTTTCTGTTCTTATGCATTAATATAGATATCTGCCAAAAGTTTAGTCTTACCTTTTAAAAGGCAGCATTTACCTTAATGTTACTAAAGAACCTGGAATGTTGAATTCAGAAAGTCGGCAAGTACAGTTTATGCAATGTCACAGAAAAAAATATTTTCCTGGACCTGGATCTCATGTCTGCTTGTTCACAGTATCTCACAAAGTAGATTTTATTCTATGATAACTATCTTTCCTAGTATACTTCAGACCAGTCATGATCTTAATTCGTTACTTTAACATATTTACTGCGTGCCTACTGTATGATTGGGATAATTGGTTGCTTTTACTGTCTAAGTGTTTGCCTATAAACAACAAATGAGAAACCTCAGACTATTGGAAGCTTATGCTTTATTTTCGATAGACTTGACAAGAAAAAAAAAAATTCACTAATGATTGTCTCAGCTGGCTAGATGGTCTGCTGGCTAAGTCAGTCTGGAGACAGAATTATCAGAAATGACATTGTAAGGGACTAGGTCTTAGGGGATAAACTCTGGAAAGTATATGATCTGAAAAGCAGCATTCAGTATCTTACTGAAAAGCTCAGGCCTTGGGGAAAGAGACTCCAAGGGAGAGAAATATTTTGCTGCTTTCCATCTAACCCCTGAAGCCCCTAGTTAGCACAAATGGGTGGCAGGCAGGACTTGTCACTCTAATGAATGACACAGCTCTATGGATCAACTGTCTTCTCTGTGAACTACAGGAACTCTGCTTTCATTAGAATGGGAAATTAGATTTCCACCACGCAATGTTTTAGCATGTTAGTAAATGAGCACAGCTAAGTGAGTCCAGGTTACAAGTTGATTTCTTCAGTTTGTTACTAACTAAAAGATTGACTATATCCTGAACTGCATGCCATGAGGAATACCTGCTCCTGGAAGAAGTTAACCAAGCGCAAACTGACAGTGCTATGGTGGTGATTATCTAAGCTCTATAACTAGGAGTCCTTTGTTAAAAATTACGGGGTATTTCTTTCATTTTTTTTAAAGCGTAGATTCATAAAAGACCCCAATTATCAGCATTTTCCTAAAAAGACATTATTTACATGGGTAAGGGTGCATATGTGTACACTGACAATTTTACATTCTCATAATTTCTTGTACATATTTAAACAACACAATTTAATTGGGAAATTTCCTATGCCACTTTTGAAATTGTATTACTTACATGGGAGATCACAAGGGAGTAACTGGCTTAGTAACCACTTTATCACATTAAAATGTGTTTTTAATGTATGCTAATTTCAAAGGCTCATATGAGAGTAAACATCTTTGTTGTTGTTACGTGCCCGTCAAGTCAACTTTCAACTCATAGCAACCCCACGTGACAGAGTAGAACTGCCCCATAGGGTCTTCTTGGCTGTAATCTTTATGGAAGCAGATCGCCGGGTCTTTCTGCTGCAGAACTGCTGGGTAGGTTCAAACTAACATCCTTTTGGTTAGCAGTCAGGCACTTAACCGTTGAGTCACTAGCATGCTTTAAAATCACTGCTGTTGAGTAGATTTCAACTCATAGCGACCCTATAGGACAGAGTAGAATTGCCCCATAGGGTCTCCAAGGAGTGGCTGGTGGATTGGAACAGCCAGTCTTCTGGTTAGCTGTGCCACCAGGGCTCCAGCGTGGTTTAGTGGTCTGCATACAGTATTGGGAAGAATCTGAATAGGGAGCAACTTGTAGATCTCTGAACAAGGCACCAAATTATTGACTCTGTATTTCCTCATTTATAAAAATGCAGCTAATACTCATCTTCTGCACAAAGAATGTTTAGACTCACAAATGATTTATAAAGGGAATTGAGCAAAGGAGTGTTAATCATAACGTTATTGACGTTTAGGGCCTCAAAAAACTTGAAGGAAAAGAACTTCCTAGGAACAAATGATAAACTCGGTGTGCGAAGATTTAAGCATTCTTTTGGTAATATCTGGCATAGCAGATATGTTCTTAATTAAAATATCACAATACTAAGTTTATGACAAATTAAATTAACCTAAAACCCACTTACTATTGACAGTTGGTGTTGGGAGGGGCTTAATGATAGAAACGCTTATTTTATGCACAAGGCCACTGGTTCTGAAGATGGTTAAATGACTCTCCTAATGACAAGATGATGGTAAGCAACTAAGCCACGAGCAGAAATAACGTTCCCAGCTGCTCGGCCTTTGTCCTATCTCCTATTACATATTCATTTATTTAGTTTTAGAGAAATGCAAAATAATAACGGAAACACCAAGCTGCAGTCCTTAAATATTAATCAATCCATTATGGATGAAAGGCTATTATTAAATCCAGGACACCTTTTGAGAAATTGGAACTGCGATCATTGCAAAAAAATGAATCCAAAACCAAACCCATTGACTACGAGTTAATTTTAACTCATAGCGGCCCTATAGGACAGGGCCCCACAGGGTTTCCAAAGCTGGAATGTTATGGAAGCCGACTGCCACATCTTTCTGCCGCAGAGTGGGCCTGGTGGGTGGGAACTGTCGACCTCTCGGTTAGCAGCCTACCACTTAACCACTGAGACACCACGAATACTCTAAAAAAAAAGAATAGCATTTTCTAAAAGGCACTAGCCCGTTTTAAACGCTGAGATTATTTTTGGTTTTCTTTTTAAGGACAGAGAATCCCAGGAGAAATATGTACTTGTAAGGTCGTTTTGGGCATGGAACCGTCAACTGGATGAGTATCTGTTCGCAGGACCCCTCACGGCCCCGGCTGCCCCGGCTCACCGCCCTCTGGGGCCGCGCACCGGCGGGGCTGGGCCTGCGGCGCCGCCCTGGGGCCCGGTCTCAACTTCGACCAGACTGGGCAGGGAGCTTGGGGGTCTCAGGAGGGAAAGCGGGGGCGTACCTCCGTCTCTGGCGTGGTCCCCGCGGGGGTTATCACCGAGGGGGTCACCCTCAGAGGGATCATCGCCCCGGGAATCGTTCCCAAAGACGTCGCCATGATCCCGCCCGAGCCCAGCGGCCCCTCGTCGCCGTGGCGACAGGGGTGGGGCTGCGGTCCTTGGGTCCTAAGGAAAGTGGCTCCCGGATCCCAGAGCCTCCTGTCCCCGGGAAATGGCTGGGGATCGGGCCGTGGGAGCAGGCACTCTGCTGGGAAGGCCTAGAGCAGTGCTTTGAATCATATGGTAGACAGACTTGTTCCTCTGAGAGGAAAAAAAAAAGCAAGCAAACCGTATAAACGAACGGATACATATGAAAGTGCCTAATGCTGGCATGCAGAAAGTTTTCAATAAATATTAAAAAGAGAGAAATTCTTAGAAATCTGAACACTGACTTATATTTGATATTAAGGAATTACTGAAAAATTTAAAGGTATTATGACGGTATTGTGGTCATGTTTAGGAAGGAAAAAGTATGCTTATCTTTTAGAAGTACCCCCCAAACCAAAAGCCAAATCCTTTGCGGTGAAGTCGATCTGGACTCAGAGCGACCCCATAGGACAGAGTACAACTGCCCCATAGGGTTTTCTTTACGGACGCTTACTGCCACAGCCTTCTCCCACAGAGCAGCTGGTAGGTTCCAACCACTGACCTTTCGGTTAGCATAAAGAAAGATTGAGGGATGCAGTAATATAAATTCTGGGATTTGCTCCAAGATAATGGGGACAAGGCCCATGAGAAATGAGTGGAGATACGGTAAATGAATCAAGATTGGCCATCAGTTGGGTGATGGAGACATAGGAGGGGTCATTATACTGTTTCTTTCTAGTTTTGTGTATTTTGAAATTTTTCATAATAAAAAACTTAAAACCAACAAGATCTGTTTAATGGCAGTATGGGTAGGTTTTTTTTTTTTTTTTTAATGTACTTTAGATGAAGGTTTACAGAACAAACTAGATTCTCACTAAACAATTAGTACACATATTGTTTTGTGACGTTGGTTACCAACCCCATGACATGTCAACACTCTCCCCTTCTCGACCTTGGGTTGCCTATTACCAGCTTTCCTGTCTCCTCCTGCCTTCTAGTCCTTGCCCCTGGGCTGGTGTGCCCCTTCAGTCTCGTTTTGTTTTATATGCGTATATAATCTTTGGCTGAAGGGCGAATCTCAGAAGTGACTTCAGTACTGAGCTAAAAGGGCCTCCAGGGGCCATACTCTTGGGGTTTCTCCAGTCTCGGTCAGGCCAGTAAGTCAGATCTTTTTTTTTTTTTTCTGAGTTAGAATTTTCTTCTACATTTTTCTCCAGCTCTGTCCGGGACCCTCTATTCAGATCCCTGTCAGAGCAGTTGGTGGTAGTAGGGCACCATACAGTTGTACTAGACTCAGTCTGTTACAGGCTGTGGTACTTGTGACCCATCAGTCCTTTGGACTAATCTTTCCCTGTGTCTTTGGTTTTCTTCATTCTCCCTTGCTCCAGATGGGGTGACACCAGTGGAGTATCTTACATGGCCATTCACAAGCTTTTAAGACCCCAGATGCTACTCACCAAAGAAGAATGTAGAACATTTTCTTTATAAACTCTGTTGTGCCAATTGAGCTAGATGTTCCCCAAGACCGTGGTCACTATGAGTAGTTTTGACCTCTCTGGATGATTAACAGTTGCTTTGAAAATGAAATGTACTTCGATTCTATCTACCTGCATGGCTGGTGCTGTGCAGGACTGATTACTGTAAAAGTAGGACATTGTTAAATGCTCCAGTTTCCCCATCTGTAATATGAGATAGTAAGGGTATCTGCCTCATAGGGTTACTTTGAGGATTAAATGTGCTAATATATGGAAATATTTAGAACTGTGTCAGGCAGAGTAAGTGTTCTATAAATGTTGGTTATCAGTAGAATTAGTTTTAGTATTGTGTTTCTCCTGAACTTAGTCCATTCTATATACAGCTGTCAGGATAATTTTTCATCACATACCTCTCCTTCATATTAACACATTGCCTTTCAGATCAAATTTAACACTTAGCTTTACATAACTCCCTGATAGTTGTGCCTTTCCTTCAAATTGTCTCATGTTCAAACTATGCACGAAATTTGTACTGTCAACCAGTGCTTACAGGTTGTCCTCAGTTTTATACTCTTTATGAGGATTAATGTTCTTCGTCTTTTCTTGCTATCTTCACCCCTAAAAGAATGACTTGAGTTATCATCACAACAAATATGTTTTATATGACTTGACTTACAATCCCATTTAAAAATGATATTAGAACTTCCTCAGTTAGTGAAAATATAGTCATTTTTAAAGTGATTTTCAGAGTTAATAAAAAAGCCACCACCTTGGAAACTCATTACAAATTTATTCAATTATTTCTTTTTGATCTCTGATTCAAGGAAATTGAAAATAGCCAGTCACCTTCTGCTGGGTAAGAACTCTTTATATCCTTTAAATTTATCCTTTGGTAAGGCTATGCAGCATTTATGTCTCCAAACTGTAGCTCTAGTTTCCTCAAAGATCTGATTTATTTTTCCAGTCTTCAACTGTTCTGCCACTTCTTTGACAATCGTTATGGTTTCTATCCCTCTCTTTGGTTTTGAACCCCAGAACTAGATACAGTACTCCATTAAAGATGGGATCAATTCTAACAGTAAGAGGAGAGTTACCTCCATGGTGGGGGAAATGCTGTATAGTAATTTCACTTTTCGTGGGTTTAAAGTTATTATTTATTAGATAAGTCAGTTTTCTCCCAGTAAGGAATTGTGAAGAAAGCCTATTAGCCTGAAAGTTACTTTTAATGCGTACAAACCAAAGCCAGTTTGAGCCCCCATTAGTTTTGTAGGGAGATGCCACCTAGAAAGATGAATCTCAGAAGTTGTGCATTTTTACATTGAAAGGTCAGGTAAGTCTTCCTTCTTTGGTCTCTTTTGAAGGTAAGAACTTCTAACCAAAGCCTGCAAAATTTCGTTTGTTATCATAGGTTATTGTTTTAGGACTGGAAGAGAAAAGAAAATATATGGCTTTTATAGTTTACAGCTATTAAAAAAAAATCTAACTTTTATCACATCACACAGTGAAATATGGGGTAGCTTGATACTATTAGTTGATTAATTGAATTGGTCCCTGTTGTAATGAAAGTTTGCCAATCTATACACCATGAATAGCATATTTTTCAAATGGAATCAGATTTTCTTGAAGAAGGGAATTTTCATAAATTTACCAATTCAAGTATTGCATGTTTACAATAAAGCATACTTTCTAAATGCCAGAGAAATGTTTAGGAAGGGGCTGGATATTTTCTTTTTTTTTCCATAGTGGCTGTAACTTTTTTTTTTTTAATTGTAGTTCAGGTGAAGGCTTACAGAACAAATAGTTTCTCATGAAACACTAGTACACATATTGTTTTATGACATTGATTAACAACCCCACAATATGTCAACCTCTCCCTTCTCAACCTTTTTTTTTTGGTGAAAATATACATAGCCAAAGATACACCATTTCAAAAATTCCTACATGCACAGTTCAGTGACATCGACTATGCTCTTCCAATTGTGCTGCTATTCTCACTTAAGATGAAGGCTTACAGAACAAAATAGTTTCTCATTTAACAGTTACTACACATGTTGCCCTATGACAATGGTTAACAACCTCACAACACATCAACAATATCCTTACTCAACCTTGGGTTCCCTATCACCAGCTTCCTTGTCCCCTTCTGCCTGCTGTACCTCATTAGTCCCATTTGGTTTCATGGGACTGTCCACTCCCAGGCTGAACGGTGAACCTCAGAGATGACTTCACCACTGAGCTAAAAGGGTGTCTGGGGGCCATACTCTTGGGGTTTCTAGGAGCTGGATAATTTTATGATGGATATTGATGGTCTGGTGTGGCAAAACAGCGCAATGAATAATGATGCTGAGATTTCAGTTGTCTTCTCAGGGTGGGTAAACATTTCTGTGCCACTCTTCATGGTTCCCATGTTACTGCCTCATTTTAAGTTTGCATGAGATTTGTTAACAATAAATAAAACAATATCACTAATGAGATTAATTGCATTAGTAATTCAAGCACTGTGATTTCTGAGGTCTTCATTCGATTAAGTGACACCTGTGATAGTCTTAAGAGGCTCAGTCTGGAAAAATTCCAATTTATCCTTTAAATGCTGGTGAGACCAGAGAATTCTGGAGATGGATTTTAGATAGCACATTGTGTCTTAGCTTTGACATTAAAAAAAAATTTAGATCTAGGAGGTGTGGTCAAGATGGCGGAATAGTTAGATGCTTCCTGTCATCCCTCTCACAACAAAGACCTGAAAAAACAAGTTAATCAATTCTGTGTGACAATCTAGGAGCCCTGATCATTAAAGACAAAGCTAAAGAATCAGACTGAGTGGCAGATGGAAGGAGAGACAATACAAAAACAGCAGAGAAGTGCCAGTGGTGAGGTTGCTGGCACCCTGCTGGCTGGGATGGCCAGTGCACATGGGCTGAGGTGAGCAGCAGCGTTCAGGACACATCTCACTAAGTCGGGAGAGGCCAGGCAGCAGCTAGTCTGCACAAGCCTCCAGAGTCATGTGAAAGTGGTGATGGACCTGCAAAAGTTAAGTGCTAACCTACTGTGTGGGGTCAAAACAACCCCTCCCCCTCCAGGAGTTTCACAGTGGAGAAGTGCCTCTTTCCCCTCACCTACCCCCTCACCTCACTCTGCTCTGGCAACCAGTCCAGCAGTATTCAACAACTACCATGTCCCCTAAGCCAGAATTCAGACCTATTCACGCCCACACCAGT